GAAAGGGGATGAAAAACTGAAACCCTAAACATTAAAACATACCTCTAAGCATTCCCCACACGGATTCAACCTTCAATCAAGCTCCCGAACGGCTTTGGAGGCAATTAATTGGTGGAATATGGCTTTGGGAACGAGAGGATCAAAGAAATTTTGAAGAGAGAGGGAGAAATAACTCTTCTCGAACTCTAACCTCCTTTAAATCCTTTTCTGGTCGCGATACTCTCGCTACAGCTAGATACTCTCGCTGCATCTCGCTATAGCGAGAGGACCTCGTTGCAGCGACACGCTCTCTCGTTACAGCGAAAAAACTAGAGAAAACTGCACTCTAGTTTTTGTAGAATCTCGCTACAGTGAGACTGCACTCGGAATTCACCCCAAACTGTCACTTTGTCGCTACAGCGAGACGTCTCTTGCTACAGTGAGAAGGCGACAGTTCTGGTACTTCCTTCCAGGGCCCTCTCGCTACAGCGAGAATAGCCCAGTGTTACGCTCCGCACTTAGGCACTTAGCCCATTTTTAGCCTATCCAGTCATACATACACATATATACACACATCAATGTACTTAATACACATAAAACATCATTTTCAAATAAATCAATACACATATGAATATATATATAAGAATAATACAAATTAATATTACCAAAATTCGGGCGTTACAGAAAATATATATTTTTAAAATTATTAACAATTATGTAATTAATTATAAGAAAACTGGTGTTTGAATGGATTTATAAAGGTTATGGGAAATTTAGTCTACATCATTCTCTGAATATAATTAAACTCTTTGATTTAAACTTATTTTTGAATTTTTTTTTACATCACATGTATGTTTCACCAAATATAATTACGTAAGATTACTATGTATATCAAAATTTTTCTTTGAAATATTTAACGCAGTTATATATATATATACTTTAATTTAATAATTCAAAGACTTCCCTTTTAAAATAAAGAATTTTTAAATTTTTTTATTTAATAAAAAGAAAAGTAACAAAACCAAACAAAGAAGAAGAAAAGAAAAGAAAAATGCACTTTGATTAAAGCACCATAAGTTGTGTGCTATTTTATGGTGCTATTCTAAGTAGGGATAGAAATAGGCTAGACTAAGTCAAGCTTTACTTTAAATAAGCCTGACCTATAACATAATTATTAGGCTTGAGCCTGACCTGTTACTTGTTAAAGACTTTATTTTCAGCCTGACCTGATCTGAAACCTATTAACAAAGCCTGCTATAAAATTTTTTTTTAATATTAATAAAAAAATAAATAATATATATATATATATATATATATATATATATATGTCAGCCTGTCAGGCTTAATAGGCTTTGAAAATAGCTTAACCTGACTTGTTTACTTAAACAAACCTTAAAAAAAGATCTAAGCCTTATTTGTTTATTAAAAAGGTCAGGTCAGGCCAAGCTACAGGCTCCTGTCAGGCAGCCTGGCCTGTTTCCATCCCTACCTCTCAGACTTCTTTATATCAAAATCTAAATTAACTTTAATATACTAATAAAATAATGATTAAAAAAAAGGGAGGGAGGAAAGCTATGTAATAACCAAAGTTCGCAACTTTGTATTCCTTCCACTGGACTAATTTCTCACACCTATTGTTGTAGTGTTCTAAAGGAGATAAAAAAAATAACAAAAAATTTGTCTCTAAAATAAAAATACCTTGCAATTTAGTTCCACAAAAAGGTGTGGCTTCAAGTTCGAATAAAAATGGAGGATGAAGATTCATGATATAATTTCTTTCTTTTTATCTCTAATTTTTCTTCTTCTTCAAAACACTTTGTAACATCCTCATTTTGTAATTTATTATTTTTGCAATTAATGTTAGTTATTTGTGCATGTTATTTGAAATTAGAAGTGTTTAATTGATGTGAACTATGGGATATCTCGCTGTAGCGAGAAAGTCGCGAGTTTGAGAGATATTTAAGGAACTCTCACCCTAAAATCTTCATTCTTAACCAAATCACATATCCCTCTCCATCATCTTCGTTCTCTCCCTCTCCTTTCTCAGAGAAAACCTCCAATAACTCTGGATCTTCTTCAGATTTGAGCTTAAACATTCGTTCTTCTTGGATCTAAGTAAGTTTCTTGGAGCTCAGATCTCTATTTCATTCCTTTTCTTCGGTTCTCTTCTCATCTTAAGATCTCTACCTAGAAATACTTAGAAAATCTTATCTTTTGGAAGATCTTTCCGTGGATAGTGTGAAATCTCTCCGTAGATCACTCAGAGAACTAGTTTGGAGGAACCATTATCAGGTAAGGGGAGTAATTTCTAGCTGTAGTTATATATGGATATATAGATCTAGTGATTCTTTGAGAAATATGAGTATCTTACTTAGTAAAGTTCTGTAAATTTTGATAGTATCATATGACAAAGGTGTATTTTGATATAAAGAGAGGTTTGGAGTTTATTTTAAACTGATAATATCATATTTTTAGAGAAAATGTGAGCTTAAGTAGTATTAAGAGATTTTAGAACTGAGTTCCTTAAGATGTATATGAATTAAGTAATAAAATATATACTATAATAAACTTTAGGTTAGGAGACTATATATTGAGATTGTACGAGCTGGGCTGAGTCTGAAGGTGTTCAACCCTCGGCATATTGTACTAATTGTATGGTGTGATATTGCGTGGTAATCTCTATGATAAGTTTGATGTATTGTATTGGTTGCGTAATATAACTTTGTATGACAACTTTATATGTTGAACTGGTAGAATTATAGAAATGAATGAAGTGTCGAATAAAAGTGAAAGCATGTGATGTATGAATGAGAAATGAGAATATGATTTAGAAAGAATATGAGACATGATTATATTGCATGAGTCCATGCAACTTGAAACGGAGTAATCATGATATAAATTATAGCACATTGAAAGGGTGTGTTATCATATATATTGTAATCCATAAATTTATATAAATTGTGACTCATGAATCATGCATTGCTGATTGATATAAAGAATGTGAAATGAGAAATATTGAGAATGAGAAAGAGAATGAGTATAGATAGTACAACGATACACTGGAGGTATAGAGTTAAGGAGAAGATTTGGAAAATCTTGGGAAAATGAGGATGGTGAATGTTAACAATGAAAAGGGTGCATAATAAATTATTAAAAATAAACATTCACAGGCCACATCCTTATCTCTCGATGAAACTCCTGACTATACCTTTGTTAAAAGAGGCTGGGGCGGCACACGTGTATCCGTGATGTTGCGGCCAACCAGCAGCTATCTATGCTAGAAGTCCTCAAGGGATCCAGGGGCAGTTATTATGATGAAAAGTGATATAGATGAGAGGTGGTAAAGAATATGTATGATATGATATATGTATTGTAGCAGATCAGTTTATGTTATTATGGTACGTGTGTTGTAGTACATCAACGGGTGTTACTGTGACAGATGTATCATGACACATGAATTGAAATGATATGATACATGTATAATAACATACAGGTCAACATAGAAATGTATGTATAATGAGTGAAATGTTATAGGTGCTTGATAAATGATTGTATGACTACATGTATTTGAATGAGAATGAATTAGAATAAAGTATTATGCTACGACTCTAATTATTATTATTAGTTAAGATATACTAAAAGAGATTTGGTAAGCGGTAAATACTCACCCTTACTGATTATTTTCAGGTAATGAAAGAGAATAAATAGAGACAAATGATCCGTTCTAGGGTCATACTCATCAAGGAGTTGTAGAAAAGGAACTGTTCGGATATAATAAAGTTTTATGAAATAGATGTATAAATCTTTAATGTATTTTCATTCATTTTAAAAGAGAAATCTTAAGTTAAGAATATATTTGTATATTTCTAAAAAAATATTGTAAATTCGTCAAGTTTTTTTAATTCTTGTTCCCATACTGTACCATTTATACAAAGTATACAAATTTTGCTAATTATGTTTTAATAATATTAGTGTTAAATTTAAATTAATTTCAATATGAAAGAGGGATGTTACACATTTTTTCTTAGTTTTTTTTTTCTCTTTTTTAAAAACTTTATGCTCCTTCTCTCCTTATCTTTCCCACTCCGGATCTATCATAGTGCAGGATTTTAAAATAAAAATAAAAATAAAAATAAATATTTAAAGAACTAAAAATTTATTACAATGTTAAAATTTAATTTATAAACTTATTTGTTCATATCATTTTTTTTAACATTTTGATAATCACTTAGCATGTATATCAAATGATCAATAAAATCAATTATATTTACCCACCATCATAAAATAAATTGTTCATAATATGTGTTTTAAGATAATATTGATGTCTAGTAAATAATATATATCAAATTTAATATTATTTTTGTCATATATAGAAAATTAACACACATATATATATATATATATATATATATATATATATATAAAAGTTAAGCATGATATAAGTTAAGTTATAAGATCTTAATAAATGACCTAAGACTTCCGTCAACTAATGAAAATCTCTTCCTGTTTATAATACAATATTTCATATCATGAGCAACTAGAACTTTTTATTTATTTAGTGATGCATGGACGAGATCTTTTTTTCCTTTTTAAAGACATGTAAGAGATCAATGTACCTTAAAAATATTATAATTTTTGTTAATGTAAATTGCATATTATAGTGCAAGATTTCCCTAAAACCATGTAGTTGTACACAACAACCTAGCTTGTAGGAAAGAGAAAGAGGAGATAGTGAGAGAGGCTGAGCATAAATCAAGGGGATGAAATCCGCTTAGCTAGAATTCTAAATTGAAAAGATATCATTTTCGAACCATTGAATTTGATGTCCTCTCAAGACAATGTTTTTTCTTGTTTTTGGTTTTCTCAACCAATCTAACAACCTTAATTGTTGATTCCTTCTACAATAAGAACACAGAGAAAGAAAAAAGTACAAGTAGATTGCACCAAACTCTTCTCAAAAGGTTTCACAAAGTGAATTAAGCACATAAATGTGAAGGAAAGGGTAACTACCATTGGCAAAGATGACAGGTTCATCAAAATCTCCAAAATCATCCAATTTGGGGGCTAGGCCTCCACAAGGGGTGAAATATACAAGACGTACTTCAAGTGGAAGGGTTGTGAGCCTTTCAAGAGATGATGATATAGATTTGTCTGGTGATTTTGCAGGCCAAAATGATTACATAAATTACACCGTGATGATGCCACCTACCCCAGATAACCAACCTGGAACCTCTGATCATACCAGGCAAGATGGTGCAGCTGCACCATATGGGACATCAAGGTTTGCCTCTGAATCTCAACAAGATGGAACCAATAGTAGTGGTGGTGGTGGGCCTAAAATGGACAGAAGGATGTCCGTGCTGAATTCAGTGAATAACAAGTCCATGTTATTGAGGAGCCAAACTCAAGATTTTGATCATAACCGATGGCTGTTTGAGACCAAAGGAACTTATGGGATTGGGAATGCATTTTGGCAAGAAGATCAAAGTGCTTTTGGCGAAGACAGTGGAGTGAGCATGTCAGATTTCATGGACAAACCTTGGAAACCACTTACTAGGAAAATTAGAATTCCAGGCTCTGTACTTAGTCCTTACAGGTATGCACTCTGCCAATTTTCTAATTCATGATATCAACTAATGCTTGATTGTGCTCCATGTGGTAACAGTTTTTCTTGTTGCAACATTTGAGGCTTATATATATATTATTATTTTTTCCAAAAAGCCATGCTTTCCTTTTAGGATAATTTTAGGCGTGGTTGCCTCTGTTGAATATTGTTTTCTAACTTAGATTTAACCGTGATAGTATTGGTTCTCTCTCTCTCTCTCTTTGCGTGGTTGCCTCTGTTGAATATTGTCAATTGTTCTATTCTATTCGATTCAAGTGCATCAACTTAGTGGCACAATGAAATTAGTTACCACTACAAAAAATCCAATAATTGTTAATAAAAAAAAACTACTTTAAACATGCTTAAGTGACCTTCCAATTTTGATTGAATGAACATTTAATATTGAAAGGCATGCATTCTAAATCACTTAAATGATTTTAAGGTTATCAGTTATTGGTATCATCTACTTGTGGCATTTTAGATGATGATAAATGTACAATTTTAAAACCTTGATTGCAAGAGTTGAATTTGGAGTTTATAACAAGTTTCTATATTATTTAAGAATAATTTTTCTGTGAACAGATTGTTGGTGGCTATCCGTATGGTAATTCTAGCCTTCTTTTTAGCGTGGCGAATTCGTAACCCTAACCATGATGCAATGTGGTTATGGGGAATATCAATTGTCTGTGAAATTTGGTTTGCCTTCTCTTGGCTTCTTGACATACTTCCCAAACTCAACCCAATAAATAGAAGCACAGACCTTGCAGCTTTACGTGACAAGTTTGACCAACCATCTCCTTCCAACCCTACTGGTCGCTCAGACTTACCTGGCATTGATGTCTTTGTGTCCACTGCTGACCCTGAAAAGGAGCCACCTCTTGTCACTGCCAACACAATTCTTTCCATTCTTGGTGTAGATTATCCAATTGAAAAAGTCTCATGCTATATTTCAGATGATGGTGGTGCCATACTCACATTTGAAGCCATGGCTGAAGCTGTCAAGTTTGCTGAGGTCCGTTTACAACCTTAAACATGGAACTAATGCAAAGAGTTTCAAAGAGAAAAAAATGTCTTGCCTAAAGTGAAAAAAATGAAAGAAAAAAGTATAGCTAAATCCATTACTAATTTGAATTGATGTACCAGTAAACTTATATTGCGATACAATAACTTTTTTGAATTCTTAATCATATTTTTATATTTTATTTCACATATATTTTTCTTTATCATCATACGACAACATCAGAAGTTAAAAAAAAAAAGTAGGAACAACACTTATGTGTCTGATGGGAGATGCATGTTTAGAAAATATTTCTCTATTAAATTACGGATATTGGCACTCTTACGTACTTTCTCATCCTATGTACTTTTTTAATTTAGAGTTAAATTAAAAAACTATATTACCTCATAAACTAAAGCCAAATTAAGATGCTAAAATTGTGATAAACTACACAAAGAGAAATAAAAATAGAACCTACATCTCGGATAAGTATTGGAATTTAAATTTCTTTCAAACAAAACTAATACCTTATGATGAAGTTTACCATGCTAATTTCCCAAAGAACTAAGGGATGCTACATTAATCATGAAACAACTTTTACTCAATTGAGATTGATTATGATATAACGTCGACTGATTTCTTGATATACTCACAGGTCTGGGTACCATTTTGTCGAAAACACAATATCGAGCCAAGGAATCCTGATGCTTACTTTAGCTTGAAAAAGGACCCCACAAAGAACAAGAAACGACCAGATTTTGTCAAGGACCGCAGATGGATAAAGAGAGAGTATGATGAATTTAAGGTTAGAATCAATGGACTTCCAGAGGTAATACGTAAAAGAAGTAAAACGTACAACTCTAAGGAGGAGAAGAAAGCAAAACAATTAGCTAAGGAGAAAAATGGTGGATCTCTTCCTTCAGATTATACGAGTGATGTCCTTAAAGCTACATGGATGGCTGATTGCACTCACTGGCCAGGGACTTGGCTCAATCCAACTAGTGATCACTCTAAGGGTGACCATGCTGGAATCTTACAGGTACTATATCTGCTTTCTTCTTTAGTTTAAATGCATTTTAACCCTTATATATCTATATATATAATAGTTTCATTTTTAAGTCTTTATAGTTTCTTTTAGTAAAGGAATTGGTTTCTAGTTTACGAACCAAAACCAAAATGTAGGCATGGTTGTATTGGGGTAAGAAAAACTATATGAATTCAAAACTAAACTTTTACTGAATGTCCATGTTTATTACTTGCAGATAATGAGTAAGGTCCCAGAGCATGATCCTGTAATGGGCTACGCAGATGAGAAAAAGCTAGATTTCACAGGAGTAGACATTAGGATTCCAATGTTTGCATATGTCTCCAGAGAGAAGAGACCAGGGTATGATCATAACAAGAAAGCAGGAGCCATGAATGCTATGGTTCGAGCCTCGGCTATATTGTCAAATGGGCCATTTATACTGAATTTGGATTGTGACCACTACATCTACAACTCCCTTGCTTTTAAGGAGGGAATGTGCTTCATGATGGATCGTGGTGGTGATCGCATATGTTACATACAATTTCCACAAAGATTTGAAGGGATTGATCCTTCTGATCGATATGCAAATCAGAACACAGTCTTCTTTGATGGTAAGAACAAAATTTCAAGTTTTTTTTTTTTTCAGAAAAAACCAAGTGAGTTAAGGTATTATTTAATATGCTGTAATCATACAAGTACTTATGACTTAAATTTGATTATAAAATTTATTAGAATAAGTTAAAAAGAGCTTATATGAATAAAATATATTAAAAAGCTTATTAAAATAATTTAAAAACTGTTTATAGTAATTATAATCTCTTCATAACCTCATCCAAACGCCTTTTGCACATACGAAAAGAAAGAGTCATAAAATAATCCAACTCTTATAAATTAAAATAATGTTTTGTTAGAAGTTAAAAGTGCATAAATTGATTTTATTTTGTGAGATAAATTTGATACATGTTACTTTGTTATTTTCTTCTCAAGTACTTGTTTAGCCAGTGGTTTAGTATATTGCTAAGATTTCCAATTTTTTCTCTGTTAAAATGTACTTGTATTTAACAACTTATAATTTGTTAGGAAATATGAGAGCATTGGATGGTCTCCAAGGTCCAATGTACGTAGGGACAGGTTGCATGTTTCGGAGATATGCACTATATGGATTTGAACCACCAAGGTTCATAGAACACACAGGCATGTTTGGAAGAGTGAAAACCAAGGTGAACCGTAATGCACTACAGGCAAGATCAGGTGGTGATGATGATACGCAGCCATTGACATCTGATTCAGAAATGGGTTTCCCACAGAAGTTTGGAAACTCAAGTATGTTCACAGATTCCATAGTTGTAGCCGAGTTCCAAGCAAGGCCACTTGCTGATCACAAATCTGTAAGGAATGGAAGGCCACCTGGATCACTGCTCACACCACGTCAACCACTGGATGCACCCACTGTTGCTGAGGCAATTGCTGTCATCTCGTGCTGGTAACTTACTCTATTATCTCTATACTCCAAAAAAATTAGTCACAAATTTCATAAGTTAAACTAGATTTAAGAGTTGTTGAATAAAATGAAGTGATAGAACTAGTCATCTATCCCAATATTGATGACCATGTCAATGTCAGCTCATTATACTTAGGCAATGGCTGATGTGGGAATCTTTTGGATGTGTTAATGCAGGTATGAGGACAAAACTGAATGGGGAGATAGGGTAGGTTGGATTTATGGATCAGTCACAGAGGATGTGGTAACTGGTTATAGGATGCACAACCGTGGGTGGCGATCAGTGTATTGCGTCACAAAGAGAGATGCTTTCCGTGGCACAGCACCAATAAACCTCACTGATCGCTTACATCAAGTGCTAAGATGGGCCACAGGTTCTGTGGAGATTTTCTTCTCAAGAAACAATGCCTTTTTTGCAACTCGACGCCTCAAGTTCTTGCAGAGAATTTCATACCTCAATGTTGGCATATACCCCTTCACCTCCATATTTTTGGTTGTATATTGCTTTATTCCTGCACTATCTCTTTTCTCTGGACAATTCATTGTGCAAGGTTTGAATGTAGCTTTCCTCACATACCTTTTGCTCATCAGTATTTGCCTCACTCTTTTGTCCCTACTTGAAGTGAAGTGGTCTGGGATTGCCCTTGAGGAATGGTGGCGCAATGAGCAATTTTGGGTCATTGGTGGCACTAGTGCTCACCTTGTTGCTGTTATACAAGGTTTGCTAAAGGTCATTGCGGGCATAGAGATTTCATTTACTTTGACATCTAAGTCAGCAGCAGATGAAGATGAGGATATCTATGCTGATCTTTACATTGTAAAATGGACTAGTCTCTTCATTGTGCCACTAACAATTATTATTGTTAACATCATTGCCCTGATCATGGGGATCTTAAGGACTGTATATAGTGTTATACCACAGTGGAATAAGCTCTTAGGAAATTTGTTCTTTAGTTTCTGGGTGCTATCTCATATGTACCCTTTTGCTAAAGGGTTGATGGGTAAGAGGGGAAGGGTGCCAACGATTATTTATGTGTGGTCAGGAATTCTTTCCATTACCATTGCACTGCTCTGGATTACAATTGATCCTCCAAATGACACTCTCCAAGCAGGAAGCATTGAAATATGAGATGATGGCAAGGGAAGTTGATTTTGAAGCATAAGGATCTAGAAGAATTTTGCAAATAGATTAAAAGGAAATTTTTATTTAAACAAAGAAAAAAGGATTAGATGGCACTATTTTTTCTTCTTCAAATTTTGTATAGATTGAAATGCAAAAGTAAGCATAGCTGGATCCGATGGTGGGGAGAAATGTACAATAGAGGAATACTTTTGTACTTAATTGTTTATTGTTTATAAACCTGTAAATTTTTATTGTGACAAAGGAAAAAAATAAATAAAAGATAAAGGGCATCTTTCTTTTAATTATACATATAATTAAGTGCATAAGAAAACATTACTATGAAAGAAAAAAATGTATAATAAAGAAGTTCTTTAAAATTTGTTCATAGTTTATAAAAAATTGTTGTAATTAATTATTTAGAAGTTTATAAAATTTTAGCATCACTGTACTTTTAATCCTTGTACTTTAATTTATATTTAAAATTTATTTCCATTTTCAAAAAATAAAATAATCAAAATATAAAAACTAAAATATAACAAGCTTATATTATATTATATTATATTATATATATATATAATTGGTCGAATGTTTTTATTAAATAAATAAATTTTGTTAAAATTCATACAAAATTAAAATTTATTAGTAATTTATTATGTTACTTTATTTTAATAAAATGTTAAACATCAAATTTTAAGTAATATAATTATAAATGTCTAAATTATATGAAATTTGGTATATAGTAATCAATTTTATATGAATATATATATATATATATTTATATATATATATATTTATATATATAATATACAATTGAGTACCATTTTTTAGAAAATTTGATGAGGTATTAGCACCTCATGAAAAGCTTCTTCAACATTCTTCTTTATCTCTTTTTATTTTTAGAAATTTTATTCTATTTCAAATTTCAAATTATAAAAAGGTAATAATTAGTCATAACAAGGTCATTTATTATTTGTCATTTTCTATACAGGCATGTTATTTTGACATATTGTATTGGAACTCATTCCAATAATTTATAGAAGAAAGGAAACCCAATAAACAAAAAAAAAATATCACCAAATAATCTTTTGAAAATTTGAAATCAGATTTATGTACTTTGTAGTTTTGAAGCTCTTCTACCTACTGTTACAAACCTTTATAGGTGAATAAAAGAAAAGTTAAGCAATGAAGTCAAGTATCATCTGCGTTTTGCTTTATCACATCTTTATATTTGGTTCTTCCTTCTTCACATTATTTGAAATCAGTTTGGAGTGTCTGACTCCATTGCTCTTTCTTTCTACATTTACAAACCTTGCAAATGAAGAAATATTAACCAATATAAGTTAGGTGTAATTTATATTTTGTTTTTTTATGTATTCATGTGTGGTTTACCCTTTTTCATATTGTAACTGAATAAGCATCCTAAAAAATAAATTCACTCAGCACTAGCAGCAAGTTCTTTCAACTCTTTTTTATTAGTTTTGTGTACTTTGCGACTCTGTTATTCTGCATCTTTGATGATAAATCTTGCATTTGAATAGAAGGAAAGCTTAAGAAAGCAAACTCAGGTATCATCTCCATTTTTTTTCTTACACCTTCATGTATAGTTCATACTTCTTCCTCTTTCATTATTTATTACTTCCTTTCTCTTTTATCTAATTTATAGAGCATTATTGTTTTTATATATTTTGATTGATTACACATCATTGTTATGAATTTTTTCATTGCTTGATAAGAACAAGCTCAAGTATCATCTCTACTTTGGTTCACCCTTCTTTCTTTTTATTATTATTCATTACTTTGTTTTTGTTTTATAGAATATTTATATAATATTGATATTTAATATTTTAATTGTTTACATACTTTTGTTATGTATTTTTTTCCTGTTTAGCAGGAACCAAAGTTAATAAAGATTAATTAACGAAACAGAAGTGTTCCTATTCGGGAAACACTAATCTTCTGACCTTTGCTTGGGTAGGATGACGTCCTTCCGTACGTTGCTGACGTAGAGAGGTACCTGCAAAAGGCACTCCGATGCTGAAGTCAGGTCTCGGTTTTGAGCAATAAATACTATTTAATAATTAAAAGTCAACCCTTTACCTGTACCTCTTACCTTCTTTTTATAGGAGATATTATGGGCTAATGGGCCTTGTGGGTCAGCCTTGTTCATAGCCTGATAATTAAGCTGATAATATTCTTGGTTTGTTTTTATCTAAATAGATTTAATTATTTATTAATTTATAATTAATATGCCTTGAGAGGTACTCATCCTTCGTAGGCCAAATAGGTACTCGATTTCCTCTTTCTATGAGTAAGACCGAGTAGTACCCTACCCGGTACACTAGCCCCCCAAGCCCGAGGAGGTAGGACAAAAGGGCTAAAATTAACTGGTGAAGTGCTTGACAATGAGAATACATGGTCGTCGAGTAGTCTGCTTACTTCAAGCGATATCTACATGTCAAGTATTCGGTTTTAGCAGGGAAAAATGATGATGTCAGCTTTAATGAGTTAGGTCAATTCATGGAGATACATTTTCAGTCAAATTCAATTTTATGTTTTCTTTTAAAAAATGCAAATAAGATTTTTGGGGTTTTAAAAATTATAAATTAATCGAATTGAATTACGAACATAATAAAATTGAGTAAAAATAAATTAAGAAACATCAATTCACATAATACCAAATACGTGTAACTCCGACTATCATAGTGTCTAAAGATTTAAATCCGCGTTTGAACAATCACCTAATTCAGTTATTAATTCAATCAAATAACCTAATTGAACAAAATTACGAATTAAATCAAATAATTATTTAACTTAATCCACTTTAATTATCAAATCAAAGCATCAATCAAGTCTTAATTTGAATTCTAACAACAAGAAAGTTAATCACAATCATAATAAATAATTCTGATATTAGAGAGAAAAAGAGAACAAACTCAGAGCAATTTAGGGCATAACTCAAGTCAGAATTATAATGTTAGAATTGAATGAGAGGTTTAACCTTCCATCGAAGCACTTAACCTACGTAAGAATGAGAAAAGAACGAGAGAGTTCGAAAGAAGGTAAAAACAAATATTCTTATTTCGGCCAAGTCTCAAAATCTCAAAGTGTTTTATCACATCTCCTAAATCAAAACCTTATTAGTCTAATTATAAGCTTTGATTAGGGTAAACTAAATGACCAAAATCCAGGCCTTAATTATAACTACAAGCTCAAATACAATTATCTAATAACAAAGTGTCCAAATGCAATGTCGCAATAATATTCAGCAAATCTGCCTGAACTTCAAAAAAATTATAAAAAATTGAAATCAACTCTAAATTTAGCGATCTATATATGCATTTTGAAGCCCTAGATGTATAAAATCCAATGCAATTAAAATCAGCCAAAAATGATATCTATAGAAAAAGTTATGGTCAAAAGAATAGTCAGAGGTCCAAATTATCGAAAAATACGAAATTAAAGCATTTATTGTAATAGGCCCAATTTATTTCACTAAGTAGAAAATGGTAAAAACTTTAAAAACAAAGCATATTAAAAGTGTTTATAAATAAAAATAAAACTATAAATATAAATTTAAAATATGTTACATCGAATTCTCTCACACTTAAGACTTTGCCCTCTGGGGCAAATCTCAAAATCAAACCATGGAGAACCAAAAATAAACTAAACTATGTACAAAACTTATCAAGTTCAAATATCATGACTAGAACGGAAATCAATCCTCACAATTCAAATTTGCAAATGAACTCACCAAATCAAGTGAATGAACCATAAAAGATAGAATCTTCACATGACATACTCTGAATCACTCAAGTGTGTAAGGTAAAATGTATCACTCAAAATGTACAACATGAAGCATGATCAGCTATAAGATTGCCCATTGCCTATTTCTCCACTAGAATTCACATATACACACAAAAATCAAGAGGATTTTGCTATGTTATAAAGGGGCATGATGAAGGTGGAAAAATTACAAAGGTAATCAAGTTAAAATCAAAGAGGATATAAGAACAATGAGAATGAATCCAAAGAAAGTAAGTATGAAAGTAAATCTCCTAAACAAAGATGTAATACAATCCAAAAATAATCCTTTTTTACTTTTGCTAGCAACGCAATGCTTCTTTTATTTTTTATTGCTTACTTTTTCTTTTTCTTTTTCTTTGTTTCTCCCTTTTTTTTAAGGAGTTGATTTTTCTTTTCTCTTGCATTTTCTAAGGTAATCTCTCACACACTTATTTCTATGATCATTCCCAAAACAATTCCAAAGTTCTTGTATCTCTAATGTAACATTTTAAATTTAATTTTCCAATAAATGAGAAATTTTGCAAATTTTTGAAATAATAAATTTTCCATTTTAATCCAAGTTTCATCAACCATTTCAAATAAAGAAAGGGGTTACAAATTATATTAAACAATTGTTACAGGACTTATTCTAATACAACAGTTTTCTGAAATAATATTATAAGTCCTATAGCAGTTCTATCCACTCCTTCACTGAGCCTGGTGCTGATTGTCTTGATTACCTGAAAAATGAATGTAAGGGTAAGTACTCTACACTACCAAAACACAATCAAACATAGAGTCTCACCTCCAGCACAATTCCAATACCTTAAACAAACACAATTACAGGCAACATTTCACATTCATAAGTACAAAATACAAATTCATGCATACGCACACCAGCCACACTCATTATAGAACTGTGATCACATATTTACACCATGAATAGTCGCTGGTTACCCCGCCTTACGGATACCACGTGGACAGTCACGGGTCCCTCAGCAAAGATAGTAGTCAGAGGTCTAGTCAGGAAGAGAGTGTGTATCCCGTGGTGCACCTGTTCTGCAGTCGATATCACCACCACTCCCTCTTCCCCGAGGTATTTCTACTGTCCTCATCTCCCACATCCCCAGTGTATCGCTGAATCATTCATAGCACATTACAACGGCGCTAATACGCCCAATCTCACATATTCTATTTACGCATGCATTAATCATGCTTACACA